TATGTTTCTCACTGCGCGGGAATTCAAATCCTCGTCCCTCGGCGGCACCTTTTTTGAACTTTTTTCATTTTCAACGGAGTTTTTCGGGGATTTCAGATTTCTTTCGAATTTTTTCGCAATAATTATGTCGAAAAATAGATAACTTTTGAAACATTTTAATATAAAAAAAATTTTGGTCGGATTCCCCCTTTAAGACACATTCTCTGACAGAACCAAAAATAGTGCTGTACAGAAAAATCAAACTNNTGTTTTTCTGGCTGATTTTTCATATATTGCATGTTTATGGACTTCTAAGGTATATGAGATATAGTTTGTCCCGACTTGTCTCACACCTGCAAAAATATGGTCGTGGGGTGTCTAAAAAATTTTTTTTTTTAAAGTGAAATAATGATTAGGTGTTATCTTTTATTTCAAAACAGTTTCTAATGTATATTTTTATGTATTAGGTTGTTCAATAAATAGTGGTCACTTTCACTTCGCTCTACCGTTGCTTATCCAATTTTGGGTTTTTTTCAATTCTGTTTTTATATTTATAGACGTCACACATTGCATGTTTAATAGAAATTTAAAAATTCCGAATGGACTGTCTAACGGCCGAGGATTTTCTCGATAACGGACACATACTCAAAAGTGTTTCTTTGATCATATGTTTCCAAGGTCTCTCGAACAACGACCATTAGCGAGCAGAGTGCAAAATGTTAGACGTAGACCTCATCTCTCGAACCACGATTGAAATTTGGTTCAAAAGATTCGAATAAGAAAATTATGATCTGGATCATAAACCAATACCCAAAAGGCCTAGCCTTAATAAAAATGAAAATATTTTAATGATACTGGAGGAAAAGCTCTGTGCTACTTTGCGTGCATTATCTTTGACAGCCCACCATCCTAATAGCACCGTAACAGATCATGTTCCTCAAACGGGAAGAGCTCGGAGAGTCCATCAAATCGTTCCCCACATTTTGACCAATTTTTAGAAAAAGGTCCGATGAGACCTGTCCGTTTCTCTCCTCTCCAGGAAACCGACTACGGACTGGGTCAACAATACAATGGAGATGATGAACGGGTACTGTATGTTAACAATGTCAGTAAGCACCTATGGCTCTCTGCAAAGGAAACGGTGGAATCGGTCTCAAAAGGCAACCTTCAAGAAAAAATCAGATTTTTCCGATTCGGTTAGACAGTGCTGAAGTAAAATACCGCAAGCTGCTTCCGGATTCCTATGTCATCAACTTTGGCTCTACTGCTTTCAAATAGAAAGTGGTATTTATGCACATCGCTTTCACCTCTAGAGAGGCTTAGTGTTGAAATTTTTGCATGACAACGAAAAAATACACAAATATTCGAAGAGCCGTTACAAACTCCATCTTCTAGGAATCGAAGTTTTGCATTGCCCATCGTACACCGCCGACCTGGCACTAGCTAATTACTACCATATCCGATTTCTCCAGAATCGTCTTGCTAGTGAGAAAGTCCATGATCGGAAGGATGTCAAGAAATTTTTGGAACACTGTTTTGCCTCTAAGTCGCCAGAGTTCTACGCGAACGGAATTGCCCAACTTCCGTTGCGCTGGCAAGAAGTTATGAAGTCCAATGGCGAAATAATTTCTCAATGATTCTTGTTTTCCTTGAAGAAAAAAACTACTTGAAGAAAAGTGACCACTATTTATTGAACAACTTAATAGAATCTGAATTTTATGTTTAATTTTATGAAATAATGGGAATTTATTTTTCAGGGCGTTCATTTTTTGGTCCAAAAAATAGCAATATATGAAAAATCAGCCAGAAAAAACAAGTTTGAACTTTTCTGTACAATGGATAATAGTCCTGAAGTTGAGTTCTACAGAGAACGTGTATTATTCATTTATTTGTTGATCTTGAAATGCACCCGATTCTCAACTCACTGGAAGGATCTGGACACGTTCTCATATCCCTGATTTATTGTTTAAATGTGATTTCCCATAGTGTTATGTATAATGCAATGTCTACGAACTATCGGCAAGCTACGAAACGAGTTTTTTGTTTAAAGGAAAAATAGGCAATTTAGGATAGAATGTTCGCAAAAACAGTTGGACCAGTGAATTAAAAAAATTCCAATGTTTAAGTTTCCAATAAATATGTTGCATTTTAGCCTTTAAAATTTTTAAATTTCAAAAATAAATTTTAAAAAAGGTTATTTGGTAGATCAAAAGTTCAATTTTTGACAATCCGATTTTGTGGGAAAATTTTTTTTCTGTTATTGATTCAAACTTTTTCTGTTATTTTTTCAAACCCATTTGTCGCTTTTTTCGTAATTTTCAGCATTTATCATATGGGCCGCGGCCCGGGCTGTGGGTAGTTTGCCGTGGACCAAAATGTTCCTTTTTCATATTTTGAGTGTATTTATCT